GCGCCAGCATCCCGGCACCCGCCCCAGCGCCACCACCTCCCGCCTCCCCGCCTCCCCGCTTCATGGGCAGAGACACTCCAGAATGTGCCAGAAACTACCTTCCACCTGCCTGTGGCTCCGCCAGAGCCTCCAACCACATCACCACGAATGTGCCAGAGGCTGTGCAAGGGGTGTGGGACCCAAAAATCCCCAATGGCCAGGATTCTTTTTTCCCTTTTTAGTATTTTTATTGATTTCAGAGAGGAAGAGGGAGGGAGAGAGATGGAAACATCAATGACGAGAGGGAATCATGGATCGGCTGCCTCCTGCACGCCCCCCACTGGGGATGGAGCCTGCAACCCGGGCATGTACCCTGACCGGAATCGAACCCGGGACCCTTCAGTCCATAGGCTGACGCTCTATCCACTAAACCAAACCTGCCAGGGCTAGGATTCCTGATTCTTATAAATCACAGCTGTTGCAAGCGGGCTAAAACACAAAACCAGGGCCACTCTGAATTGCCTCGAACAGCTTCACCCTGAAATGGGAGAGAGGCTTAAAGGTTCTCTCTCAAAGTTGTTTAAGAAATAAGAATCCAAGTAACTAAATGAGCTTTGGAAAACGGTCTCACCTCAGAGAGATGTTGCTGTTTTTTAAAAGATATTCCATTCTTTATTTTCTTTAAAACTGCCTTTGTTTTTAGGCAGGTGAGCGGCGGGGGTGGGAGGGAAGGAACCAGGAGAAGGCCCCGGGAAGCCACGCAGCCCGGCTCCGAGGCCGCCTCTGCGTCCTTTCTGACTACATCTTGAGTTTTTGTTAAATTGCGCAGATAATTAAACCCTCTTCATATTTACAGTCTGCTTCCTGGGTACCAGGGCTGACTCTGTTCTCAGTTACTGTCTCCAATCCCCTCTCTGAACACTTCCATCCTGAGCAATAACACTTCATTCTATGTAAGTTCTAGCTGATGTCCCCACACAGAGCCGCCAGCTGTACAGCAAATGTGCGGTTCTCAGACCGCGGCCTGCGGGGCCTGGCGCCATCCTGAGATCCAGGAGGCCCCTCGCCGGCCCTGGCACGCGTCCCCACCATCGCTGTGACCGGCCCTCCGCGTGGCACACAGCGTAAAGCCGTCTGATGATCAGGATCGGTGGCCCGCTCCGCTGCAGCCTTTATTTGATCTATCCCCAGCGCACACATCGGTTTAACTGTTTTGGCTGGCTTACAATCATGCAGCCATCTGCACAGTAGGTGTGACACCATTTTTTTTTTTAAACAAAAGTTAGGTTGCACACAAAGATGAACTCGTTGGGAATGCTCTGGTATCTGTGATTCTGCCCGGCTCGCTTGGACCGACCAGAGAAATAAATAGAATTATCTGTGTAAACGATGGGCATCTCTGAGAAACAGCACCCGGCAGAATGTGGCGCGTGCTCCATTACCTACGCTAATGCCGTGACAGCTGAGGAGAGATGACCTGGCCCGCTCCGCGCTCCTGTGCAGATGGCGCTGGAAGAGGGGTCCCTTCTGGACGGTCCGCACAGAAGCCCGTTGTGGGCTTTCCAAATAAGCCAGCATGGCCCACACGAGGGTAGCTTCCTGTTACCATTAAACTGCCCAGATTTCAGCGTTTTTAATCCAGCTCTTGATGAAATAAGCCAGTATATTCATCGTATTTAACACCAAATGCTCGTTTCTGAATTGCCTGGGCTTTGCAGGCAATCAGATGAAGATGACCTAAAAAAATGCAATCACCGCGCTGAGCATTAATGCGAGCTCCACAGAGCCGGTGCCTCAGCTCCGCGGGCAGTGATGTGCACCTACAGACGCCCACAGGGACTCCTTTCTGTTCAGGAAAAAACGCAGCCAGTGAACACGGGGAGCCTGAAGGGCCACACAGCCCTCCATCCTCCATGCAGAGGGCCACAGCTCTGTCCCCCCGAGGCCATAGAAGCCAAAGCCACCACAGCCCTAAAACACTGGCTTCCTCTACGCCCGTGGCCGGCAAACGCATCAGTCAACAGAGCCAAATACCAACAGCACAACGATTGAAATTTCTTCTGAGAGCCACAGTTTTTACACTTAAACTTCTTCTAACACCACTTCTTCAAAATAGACTCGCCCAGGCCGTGGTATTTTGTGGAAGAGCCACACTCAAAGGGCCAAAGCGCTGCATTTGGCTCTCAAGCCGTAGTTTGCCGACCCTGTGTCTATGCAAAAGCAAGAGTATTCCAGGTCCAATGCTCCGGAGGTGATGCTGACTGTCACAGACTCTGATGGAGATTAGTCACACAGTGCCCAGGGAAGGGGAGAATGGACAGGACCATCTGTGACCTTGGGCCACCAGCACTGCCGCACCGACACCACAGACCAGCTACAACGCACCCCGAACAAGACTGCTGTCCGCACTCTTTCCGTCTCCACGTCTCCACGCCGGGGCCACGTGCTGCGGGCAGCCCCTACAGGGTCCGCGCCTGCTCGCGGGACTGCAGATTCTGGGCCTTTTCCAGTCACAGCCATTTGCCCAGCTAGCGGTTAGCCATCCGGGGGAAGAGTCTGTGTCTTTGCCCCACTGTGTGCCTATCACCTGGCACTCCTGGTCTTCGTTGTTGTTAATCCTCATCCGAGGATATTCCCCCATCGGGTTTTAGAGAGAGTGGGAGAGAGGAAGGAAGGGGAGAGACAGAAAAACATCCGTGTCAGAGAGACACACAATGAATGGTTGCCTCCAGCACGTGCCCTGACCAGGGCTGGGAATGGAGCCTGCAACCAAGGTCTGCACCCTTGACTGGATCAAACCCGGGACCCTTCCATCTGAGGACCAATGCTCTATCCACTAAGCTAGGAACAGGATCTCTCAGCCCCTCTGACTTCCCGCTGCCCTCCCCGCCCCTCCAGATGTGAACGTCACAAAGGCAGTGAGGGCCTGGACGCCTGGCGCACGGACCGGACCCCGAGCGGATGCTCTGCAGCTGATAGGCCGCAGATGCTCCACTACAACAGCCGGCTGTTCTGTAACTGGGTCCCCGTGAGGAGGAGGAGCGTTTGCTTCGCTGGTTAAAGGGGGGCTGCTAAACGCTCAGACCCCAGGAGAGGGAGGTCCCATGACCCATCATAAGGTGGGGCACCCGCCGGGGAAACAGGAATGCAGCCAGGAATTGAAAGGCAATACCACGGAGAGCATCCAGCAATTAGGGAAAGCCAGGCAGGCCCAACCCTCAGGGACCAAGGGCACCGAACCGGGGATCACAATGCCCTGCCCACACCCCATCGGCCCCTCACGCGCCAGGACGCCAGGCCTGTGGAAGCGATAGCAGAGGTCTGCTCCCCTGTCCTGGGGCGAACAGCAGACCCAGCACCCAAAGCCAGGCTGCACCACACACGGCTCCTCAGAAGCATGAGCCTCGGGGGCCACTCAGTCCACACGCCACAAGCTCTTCTCCCAGGCCGATGCCCGCACAGAGCGGAGGTGCGGATGGCCGCCGCCACGCCTCTGCCCCAGACAGCGCCAGGAAGGATGGAAGGGCTGCAGCAAGAGCAACTCACTTCCAACCCACCCTCCCCACCCCACAAAGCAGTTTTGGAAGTTTATGGGGATTTTGAGTTTTTTTGTCTCAAATGGAAGGGAACTTCAAGAAAATGCCATCATTTGAATCTCATCGTTTGCCCGCTTTTAAGCATTCAGTCAGGTTGTCATTGTCATTCTGTCACATTTAACAACGTGCTGTGCCATGGACAAGCACATCACTAACAATACTGGTCCTTCAGCCTGGGAAACACCGAGGAAAGTGATCAATATCCCCGCGGTTCCATGCACGTCCCATTCTGCACAATTAAGCACTTGGCCTTTTATTAGCCATCATCTCCTGGAGATCCATCATTGGAAAACTATAAAGCAAGTCCTACTGCAAACCTCTTAATCCATTTCCCAACATGCTTTTGAGATTGTCCTTATTAATATCTACAAGAGCCTCAGCCGCTGGGGATGGCTGGTTTCCATGGCCTGTGGCAGCAGCGGGAGTAACCCGTCCACAGACGTTCTGAGAAGCCGCTGCTAGATATGCTTGCCTGTCTCAGAGTTTGATAACAGGAGAACAGGGGGTTGATCAGACTTTTTAATATTACGTCACAATGATCTGTGGTGCGACAAAACGCCATGCAGCCAGTGAGAAAGAAGAAACACCCTCATCGTACAAAAACACAAACGAGCACAAAAATAGTATAGAGAAACAGCAACGGTCATGTCACCAGCAGAGAAAGACCTGCTCGGCAGAGTTTAACGGGCTGGTGAAACTCTCCGTGTTATCACCAAGTGCTTATCAAATTAAAAGGCTCGGGGGGCAATCCCAGAGGGAAGGGATCATAGGACACCACACACACATGACAAAAGGACCTCCTTCGCTCCGGCCACGGATACATGCCACATTCCGAGACACTGGTCCGCCCGGACTCCAGGGCTTGGGGTCCAGACCCCTTTCGCCAGAGGTAACATCTTCTGGAGTCAACAAGGAGCCCTGCGTGCCTCCCCTGACCTGTTCAATCCCGACCCCTTCAGGCAGCGGGAACCACACATGTCCAGCCATTTAAATTATTAACGTGTCCCGATCCCAGCAACTCCCCACGTCGGGCTTTTACACAAAGATGCTTCAGCAGCAACAGCAGTGCCATCACCGTAATAACATCCAGAATTAAAACCCAACTCAAACGCCACGGAAAACGAACACCCGCTCATTAGCCATTCCCGTTTGCTCCCGATAACGCCACAGTGTGACCGGGAGTTTAATTTGTGGATCACCTGTGCTCTGAGGGGCAGCAGACACGCGGCCCTCTGCAGAAGTCTACCAGCCCCTGCAGAAAAGCAGCGTGCCACGGCGCCACAGCAGCAACGGAACATCCATCATTCTCAGGAAACACAGTGCCGGCTGGACAATTAACTCATCTTTAACTGTTTAACGACAAAGCAGGGGTGGACACAAGCAGGAGAAACATCCAAGCATAAGAAAGTTTAGAGTGTCACTCACCAATCATGTGATTTGCAACATGCACCTGAATATCCCATTCGTTGTAGAAAACCATCTGACACTTGATGCACTGATAGGTCTTCTTCTGAGAAAACAAGTACAGACAGAATTACTTAGACATATGCACTTTGTACCATTTTGTTAACATGCATGCATATGCGCGCGCTCACACACACACACGCACACGCACACATGCACACACCACACCCAGCCTTACTCACAGCTTTTTCTGAGAGCTGGTCTTACACACACCACTCACTAACCTTCCACTGGGCTGTGTGGGCCAAGCTACACAGTTCCTCATTAAGACCTGTGTCTTTCTTCCCAGCACCGTGCGTTCAGAAGCACGTCGTATTTTTAAACATTCCGAAAGGCAGACACAGAAGCGAGTATTTTTATTTTTTGATCTGTAACACGTGGTGGTGAAGTTTCAAAAAACCAGTGTTGTTGATGGTCAGGCTTTCCTTCTGATCAAATTCACTGTGGTGTTACTTCCTGATACCCCTACGTGAAATGGCCAGTAAATGGAGAATCGGGGGATCTAGCTAAGAGATTTATTTAGAGGTTATCATTTTTGGCTGAAGTCTGAAATCTAGATGATCTTTTTCAGAATTTGTTAAGTCCTAGTGTTTAAGTACCTATTTTCTTCCCTCAGGAATGCATATAGTTTCTTATCCTAGGGAGCATACTAACATCAGTCATCATTTTACCCCCGGTCCTGAGAGGGATAGAGCAGACATTACTCTTCGTCCGGAATTCTCAGTTCTCAGAACCTGAGGCCCGAGGAAGCAGACTTGCCTGAGGTCTCAGGGCCCTGCCACCGGGCAGAGAAGCAAGCCCTTTATTCTGCCTGCTGGCCCTGAAAGAAAGCAGCCTTTGTAACTTCACATCCTATGACTCCGCCCACGTCTGGCCCAGGACTGTTAGATGAACTCAATAAAGGATTGGCGGCGTCTTCCAGAGCACAGTCTCACAAATTCCTTTACGATGAAACTCAATATTTATAATTAAAACCATCTTCGAAAACAAAATAAGCCATCCTGAAATAATCGTTTTTAAAATCTCCCAAATGTGAGACGACGACATTTGTAAAATCACATCAATGACCGTTTGCTCAGGCGCTCTTCCCGGATTACCATGTCGCCACACTCACACACAACTGCTCTGCTCGCAGCAGCCGGAGGAAATACCAGCCCGTGATCTGCCAGGGAGTTCAGAGAACTCCACAAAACCGAAGCGCAGCACCGAGAGTCCGCGTCCCCTCAGCGCGGTTAAAGTCACCGAGGCCGGAGTGTCAAGTCCTCGTGACTGTCACGGCGGCGCCTGCGTCTGCCGCGGACACTGGCGCTGCTTGTGAGCCTCGGAGGCCCAGGCGCCGATCCGATGGGAGTGCTCTCCATCCTCTAACGGGCCCTGCATGAGAGTTGGGAGCAAGGCCCCGGCTCTCAGTCTCCCAGGGACGCAGCACGCCCTGACCTCACCGGAAGATTGAGTGTGCGGAGCCGTCCGCAAGATGCCTTTGATGGTGACATATGGAGCGGCGTGTGTGGCGTAAATAACGCCGCTCCCTTTTTTAGCATCATTTCCCTTTAGAACTAGTTAGGAGATATTTCTTACTCCCCGCTGACCCCGTTGCGTGCTGTTTATTAGCATACTTCCAGCATCACTCCGGTAGGCGACCTGCTGGAAAACAAAGAGGCATAAACCTAACGGCCAGCCTTCCTCTTGTTAGCCCAGGAAAACATACAGCGTGTCGGCAAGCGTTTCCAAAAATGATGACGGATGAAGATGTGGGCGGAATATTGCGGGGCGTTTTTTTTCCCTCCTGGTCTAATAATAAAGAATAAAATCACTTGACAAACCAAGATAATGAAATACTAGCACCACTGCCATCTTCCAAATCAACTGACAAATGTGAGGATTTATGTGTACGTTTCCCTTAATCATGGAAGGAAAATGCGTTTGTCACTACTAACGATTCAAATAATAATTCTACCCCTAAGATGGCATTTGGAATTGTGGGCGAAACGGGGCCACATGCTAACCTGACCGGCTCAGGGAAGGCCTGCGTGGTGGCCTGGCAAACTCAGAGACCTAAAGTAACCACCAAGGGTCGTCTGAAATCAAAACGTTTTAAACTAAAAAGTAGTTTATGGTAGGTAATCTGTGTAAGCCAGGATCTTCCTCCACAAAGGTCAATCTTGACCTTAACTGATCCTACTGTCTTTTTGCATCTAAGGTAACATATCCTTAGAATGTCCAAGGAATATTCCTTTCCCCCCTCAATGTCACTGAGTTAACTGCTGACTGACTGTTAACTATCCTGCACCCACCTAAGTAAAAGAAGTAATCACTTAGTGGCCAGATTATGATGATCTCTGAGTGCATAATAATCTGGCCATTCAGTGTGTGTGTGTGTGTGTGTGTGTGTGTGTGTGTGTGTGTGTGTGTTAGAGGCCCAGTGCATGAATTCATGCATGGGTGGCGTCTTGCCAGTTTGTCCAGGGGGAGGGGACATGGGCCATGGGCAATTGGCCAGCCTACCTGCTGATTGAACTCCTGGTTGAGGGAACAATTTGCTTATCAGCCTTTTAATATATAAGATATACACTGAGTGGCCAGATGATTATGCATTCAGAGATCATAATAATCTGGCCACTCAGTGTATGTCTATTATCTTACTTTTTATCCAGTCCCAGGGATCGCCGCCTCCCCTGCACATTTGCATGCTCCTGCCTCGCTAATCTCTCACCAATGGATTTCACTTTGCCCATGTCCCCATCTCCTCCTCTGATGGTAATATCTAAAACTGCCCTTCTCTGAAGCACCATCCAGATCCATTGAGATTCTGCTTCCCAGCAATTGTCGACAGTTTGGCTCAAATAAACTCACAAAAGTTCTTTACAGGTTTGAATGCTTCTTATATTAACAAAACATTACTTTTCTTTTTAAGTCATATTCTTATATGAAAGCTGCTAAACTTTGGCGCTAGGTGAAACAGTTTAAGGTGACCCACAACGACGTGCCAGACCTTCACAGTGTTGTATGCTGCACTTGACTTCCCCACACATCTCCTTTCCCAGCATGAAGATATGCCAGTTGGGTGAGCTAAGGTTTTCTGTTTAAAGCCATGGTATACAGTTCAATTTTACCCTCATTGAAAAAAAAAAAAAAAGTTAAATGACCTTGAACACATCTCTTTCTGTAGACTTTTAGCAGAATGTGTGAGAGCCCTGCCCACTGGCACCCCGTCTCTGAGGAAAGCGACCATAACCTGTGACCAGGGGGCCTTGGGGAGCACATTCGCTTGGAGGTGACTCCGCTCCAGCTCTGGGTTTAGGGCGGAGTCTCCCCGATTCCAGCTTCCATCGGCTCTTCTGCTCCCACTCATGGGCCCCAACTCTACACTCAGGACCCTGGTCTCACGCGGCAGAGGTACGAACCCCTTTTCAGGCAGAACAGGAGGCATGCTGGGAGGAGGGCTCTGAACACCTTCCTCCAGGCCAGCCCCTCCACTACGAACCACCCATGAGGCGCAGCAAGTACCCGGGCGACGCCCTGCGAGGTGCGGCAGGCTGCAGCATCCCGGGACAATCGCCCCCGCTCACAGGAGACGCACAAACGTCCAGCAGATAAAAGCGGGAACAGAACTCCCATTGTGTGGGCCCCGATCGGCCCTCGTCGGCGCTCAAGTTGTCAATTGACTTGAGATGCTAATTTGGTACAATTTTTCGGAGAGACTTTTTCATTAGCCTTTGTTAATGTGCTGCTGGGGAGTGGGCTGTCATCATGCCTGTTCTTTGTTTTCTGATACTGATAGATGTAATTATCAGGGATACAACTTTTTCCGCGCACCTCATTATTTTTGATTGATTTTGTGAACAATTTGAATGTGCTTTTTGACATTCTTGTGTTCAGTGAGACTCTGCTTAAGGTACTCAGAGGCGTTCAGAAAAGAGCATCTCATAAATTAAAAAAAAGAATGATCGGGAGCTTTAATAACACACACTTAAAAGAAAACATTATTCTGACTAACCCCCCCCCCCCCCCCATCAATCTATACTCCATTAGGACTCAGGCTTTGCATTTAGCCTCAACAAATTAAAAAAATAATAATACTTTGTACTTGTAAATTGCTTTAAAACAAGAACAACGCTGAGTATTAAAAGAAAATCGATGAATCCATAGTAACCCTCAAAAGCAGAAAAAGAAGAAAACCTCGTTTGCCCCATTGGAAGTGACTGGATTCCCTGTCCTTGGACTTGGGAACCGAAGGGAACAGGCCGAGCCTCTGCGGGAGGGAGCGCTGTGTGCGCGGGCCCATGTGCTGCGGGAGGAGGGGTGACGCCACGGGACCGAGGACAAGGCAGAAGGGTGCCAAAGCCCCTGGAGAGGCTCTCTGAGGCCTCGTGTTCAGCTCTCACAGCTGCAGGAGGTGGTCTGCATGGAGATGGAGCCGCAGGCCAGTGGGCCGGCACCGCGTTCCCTGACGGTCACGGAGGGGCCCGGCGGGACACGCCTCGGTGGGATGGGACAGGCGGTGACTTACACCCATGACCCTGCGATGAACCCTGCCTTTCAGGAAAAGGAAAAGGGCGTTAGAGGAGCTCCTGGGGCTTCGGAGAAAAAGGATTACACAAATCAGACTGATGCGGCACATCCCGCCCCGCCTGCTACCTTCAGAGTCCATGTCGGGGTGGGGGGAGGGGGGTGGGGGGCGGGGAGGGGAGTTGAAGGACTGTTGATGTTCCTCTCAGTGAAAGAGATGAAGACTTAACTAATAATAAATGTGTGTGTGAACAGAATGTGGGGTTTTTAAAATATATATACTGAGTGGCCAGATTATGATAATCTCTGAACACGTAATCATCTGGCCACTCAGTGTGTGTGTGTGTATACGTATACATATATACATACATATACACATACACACATATATGTTAGAGGCCCGATACATGAATATGTGAATGAATCTGATGCTGGTCAAACAGCAAACCAACCAACAATACTTGCCCAACCAGCATGGCTCAGGGTTGGGCATCGACCTAGAAAACAGGAGGCCGAGGCTCCATTCCCAGTCGGGGC